TCACTAAGAGTATTGGGGTCAAGCAAGATCTCTGCTTCAGACTCCAAATCATCCTGGAAACAGAAAAAAACACCCAATTTCAAACCTCAAACCCAGTTAACGAAATTGGAGATGGGAAGAAGAGATACAAAATTAAAATCACCTGAACATAAAGCACACTCTGAGCTTGAAGACCTGAGTTATGGAAGTAAAAGTAACAGTTCCCTCGCTTAAAGGGCGTATCGTAACGAGGATAATCAATAAATTTCGTGAATTTCTCATGAAGATTTTCTTTAGTCTCGCAAGTTTTGAGCACTGAATCTGAAAGTTTCACTTGCTTCTCCACAAATTCTTTCACTTCTTCAGCATCAGGATCTTCCAGCCTAACAAAGAACCAAACATAATAACTTAAATTTGGTCTACCAAAACCAGTTTACGGTTGGACCAAACCGAAACACGGTTTACAGAAAGAAAAAAAATAAATATAATAATGAGCAAACAAACAAAAATAGGTCCAGAAATTTGGCAACTGGTCCACTAAGATCAATAATGGGCCAAAAAAAATAACGATAGAGCTGGTCCAAAAAAAGAAGCTCGTTACGCGATTGGTTCATGATCTGAAAAGCTTTTGCTACGACAAAACATAAGACCGGAAGATTCAAAATCTCTCACCGGTAATAAGAATCTCCGTCAAACTCAACAACAAGAACAACGTTAGCGTAAAAAAGAGGCAGTTGGAAACGAAAGCAAAAAGCTATTACCAGCGGTAAGGATCGGAGACTTTAACGCCGTGATAATAATCAACGACGGACTCATCACGCCTCGCCCTCGGATATTGCTGCCGCTCTTCAAATGTCGAGAGAGATCCCATTCAAACTAAATTTAGATTTCCGACAAGAATAATAAACAAAAGAACTAATGACTTAATGAAGTAATGTTAAGTTTCGTGTAGTAGAAGGAACAAGAAGAAGAAGAAGAAACAGGCGTCTATATATATAAGGAAATTAGAAAAAAGAGAAAGAAGAAGGAAACGTGAAGAAATGGAAAGAGCCGAATTACCAAAAAAAAGAAATGGAAAGAGCCGGGAGTTACAGATGCATCGAGTCTCTCTCTCGCGTTATGTCGATATATTTCGTGAACCTGTCGACATTTTTTGGGTTTATGTTGCCATTTTAAAAAAAACTTGTTATTGTTGTTGCACTAACCTTCTCTCTTCTTTTTTTTTTGGACCATTTTTGTTTTTTTCAAACCATAATGGCATACTTTATTTATTTTTATTTTGGCTGTCTATAGTTATATTGTTCTGATTTTTTTAAAAAAAATCAAGATTAAAATTTTTAAAATATATGTTTAGTAAGTATTGATAACATCGATGTAGGTTCATCACTTAATTTATTACCAAAGAAAGAGAAACCCATGTATATAAAATGTATTTGATATTTTATCCTTACAAAAAAAATAAAAATGTATTTGATACAAAACCTTAAGATGAAAAAAAGGAAAAAAAGGAAAAAAAGAAAAAAAAAGAAAAAGAAAAGGAAAAAAAAAGAAAAAAAAAAGAAAAAAAATTTACATATATTTACCACTGTATAATATTACTGGTGACTTTAAAAAAACCAACTAAAACATCTGTCATCACAGTTGACTAGTCAACTGATGTAATAAACCAAAACCCCAGCCTGCTTGTACTATATAGATTACGTCGATCGTATTAACTAGTACGTAGTACGTACTACGTTAAGCCGCCCCCAGTTCCATTATAAACTTTTTCCATTAATTGCTTCTATTCTCTTTTATTTATATTTTTCACATTCGTATTTATTTCAGTTCGTATAGTAGTATACTTTTGGGAAATGTTGTATGTATAGATCATATTTTGAAGATTCTTAATTAATCCTAACTCCTAATCGACCGTGGTTTATCAACTCACTCATTAAGCGATCCGGTCTCCAAATAATGTTAGCTGGGTGCGTTAATAGTGATTAGTTATGAAAGCAGAAAGCTAAGCTACTTTCATTTGGTTTTTTTTTTTTTCTAAGTATTTTCTATGAAGAACATAAGAAAATACTTAGCAAAAAAAAAAAAAAAAAAAAAAAAAAAGAGCATTAGAAAAGACAAATTTAGTGGCACGACGTGTGACAGATTCGCATATCCGTTGCAAGTCTGCTTTATCATGTTTACTTTTCCTACGTCTTATATTCTGTATACAAAAAAAGTAAATCGAATTAAATTGTGTAAATGGATATAGAATAATGTTGTTATACTTGGCATCCATTACACATTAAGATTGGTTTCAAAAAACAAAATTTAAAGTATCTTTGTGAAAATGTTGACACAACTAATTCTCTGATACACGAATCTTTAGATCTAGCTAACCACGGTATTATAAAATTTATAGAACTAACACTATTAGTTGATGAGGTGGAAATTAAGCTTTTTGGGATATTTTTTATGTTTGTGACTGTATATGATTTGATTTTTTATATATAAATCAAAAGGTCGTCAAAATTGGCTATAGTGGGGGTAAATTAAGATATGAAGCGTAAGATTGAATGATAAAAATTACAACGGATATACAACTAGTCATATCCACTATATGGTTTTTTTCTCATAAAATGTTCTTTGTCCATTCTGGAGATATGTGATAGACATTAAAAAGTAAAAACGTTCCAAATGTTTTGTGTAACCTAAATTCTTATATATATTTTCCACACCGTATAAAATATGTATAATAATAGCTTCATAAACCAGATCAGAGTAAGAGATAGTATATACAATTAGGCGATCGGATTTGTATTAGTAACTCTTCAGACGGAGGCTGGTTCGTCGTTCCATTCGTAAACATCACATGTTCTTTGATGGCCATCCTTCACTCGGAGTGCTAGGGTTTGTTTTGTGTGCGGCACCACCCTCCAATCAATTTATTAAAAATTAATAATTTGGAACGTTTATGCATCACACTGAAGTTGTTTTTTTTTTTTTAATTATAAATTTTTAATAGTGAAGTTGTTTCTTACATTGTTATTGGTTCTTTTTTAAAAAACTGTGGGAGGCTTCATCACACGCTTAGCAAGGTTCGCAAGTATCTGGGATCCGGTCTTAGTCTCACCCCGCAGTTGAGTTCGTAGAGTTATATCCTACGACCAACAAAGAAGAAGAAAAAGATGATTTAAAGTTAAATCTGCGCTTAAATATAATTTAAAATAATTGTACACGTCTGGCTAAAAACCTTGTCTTTGAGTATATATTACTTTGAAAGAGCTGATTGCTATCGTACACAAAAGCAAATCGGCCTTTACTATAAAAATATATATATCACAAATAAGAAGAAATGTCAAAAATGTGTATGGTCGAACGATCAAGTCTTATTCATATTTTCAAGGATTCAAATCCAAACCATTCTTTGTTCTTAGCTTTCTTTGGTGGTAGTTTGATTCTAGTAAAGGAGGAGTCATGTGTATGTGGATCAATTTATATATATTTTTACTATTCTAAATAATATACAAAGGTTAGGTAGTTTATAATGGCACACAAGTTTCAGACTCAAAAAAAAAACAACTAGTATTTGATCTTAATCAGCTTTTGTGATCCGTGTCTAGTGGTTCTACATTGCTAATATATAATAGTGTTAGTTCTATAAATTTGTTTTGCCGGGCTTGAAGAAGCCCATGCTTATAAACTGATTGGAACCCATTTTCCGGAAACCCATATGTAAACTTTTTTGCTCCACCAACGAAGTTTGATTTGTTTTTATGACAGTCCGTCCACAAATGATATTGTTAGATTATAGAGATAGTCGATAACCTTTACCTAAAACCATATTTTCGCTATTTGTTTAAAATCGACTCATAATTAACTAGAATGAAAACTTATGCATAAAATAACTCATTTACAGATTAATTAACATTTTGCTTAATAGTTTTGCTTGTCTTGTTTTTCTTCAATATCATTTAACAATGTTGTAAATAAAAATATTTATGCTTCTTAACATATACAAATCCATACATATAGCTAAAACTGAATATAATTTTTTTTTGGGTAGAAATTTGAACCGAAAGTAAAATACGTAGAAAACCAATTTCATCTTAAAGTAAAACGTCCAGATCGAGTGGTGTAATATTACTATGTGGAGCAAACTTTACAAGAATTTGAAAACCATAGAATAAAGTCAATCGATCGGTTACCACAATCATTTATGTGAACCCTATAGGTACTACTATATATAATTAAATCCGCAGATTGGTTCACCCCCACCAATGGAGAGATTGTTGAATACATAACACCCATTTAAACACAATTTATAGAAGATGAGAGTCATGCACGAGACAACATATATTAATGATTTCGGATTATGTGGCTTACTCGCTTGATAAGTGAGTTCCTCTTTAGTCTTTATGATATCTTCACTAATGCCTTGATCAAGTGAGAGAGCAATATCATATCTTCCGGATATTCATCGCACACCTTCGTGTCAAATTAAAATGTTATGATCCTTAATTAGTGCCTCTTTCATATTGGCTCCATGCACACTACCAAAAAAAATAAAAAATTACACAAATTAAATATAGATACGATGTATTGATCTGGAGAACACGTACGTTTTTATGTTATTTTCATTACTAATTCAAAGCTCGTTACTTTGTTTTTAATGTTAACTAAATAATCAGCTGCGCAGAAAAAAAATAAAAAAATGTGCAAATTTATATATCATCTAATTATTTTCTAAGTATAATTAACGCAAATTGAAACCAGAAGCCACATTACCCTAATTAGATCTCTGCAGTAAGTATGGATCTCTGTAAACTTGGTTTCAGTGACAATGGAGATCTATAGTTCAATCAGACGAAGTTTAATATTAATCTAATTATAGTTTGTTCTATAAAATCAAGGAATAAGTAAAGAACAAAATAGAGCCATCTACTAACCAGCATTGTAAATTAATGTGATACATGCATACCCAAATTTTTAATAAAAGTATGACTTGCTTGTTTGTTATTCCTAGAGATGACAAATACCTAGAATCAAGGAACAAATATGCATTATATCCAACTCATCTTGATCAGAATATAGCTTTGTATATATAGGTCAGAAATGATACCAAATGAAGGAGTACACGTAATCTCTAATACTGTGTCTTCGACTTCAAATAGAACAAAGGGAACATCATAATAACACCGTGGACTTCAAAAACAAGATGCTCTCCTTTCCCACATTACCATTTCTCAAAGTAAAACAAAACCTTGATTACCTTTTTGAAATTCTGGGTCCTAGTCTCTTTTTCTTACTAGTGTTTTAACCTTTTTCCTAGAAGCCGAAACATATGAACCTCGCACTAGTCAACCTTCTTACGATATAGTCCAGATGTTACACACTAGAAATGAGGTAAAAGGACGACGGTTATGTATGTCTATGCTTAATTATATTGGGCTTTAAAAAAAAAAAAACATAAAAATGTAATGCAAGCTCGACATATAGAACAGTTAAGAACACATATCAAAAACGACTTTTATAGCTCAAACGCAAAAGGAGCATGAGATCCAAATATATCTGAATCGAAACAATGGTTAATCGAAAAATTACCTCAATCATGGAAGCTCGTCATCGTCAACAAAAACAAAACAAGATCGTCAGATTCAAGATATTGATAAAGTTATATATCGATCAAGAGGGTTTTACGAAGAAACCCTAACAGATCTCTATTGGCAGTATACCCACCTCCTTCTTCCACACAAAATGGCATATATATATACATGCAGATATGTATAGAAGGAGGTGGACAGAATGCCAAAGAAGTCTGTAAGAAACTCTTAGTCAAACCCTCATGAAAAGGAACAAAAGTTGAAAGATCCGGTCTGTTTCCAATGTTCTTCAAGGAGATTGTATTTACTACACGAAGAGAAGAGAGACACAAAGGAGTCTTGTAATAAATGGAATAGTGATGGAAGAGAAGGAAGGTGGTGATATTTATTGGTACTGAGAGAGAGAAAGAGATCATAGAGAGATGAATAAGAGTTCTCTTTATGAAGGGTTATATATATAGCTAGGCTTAAAACCCTAGAAGGTTGTGATGGAATAAGAGAAGAGATCGAAGGATTCGGATTTGAGAATAGACCTCAGATCTAACAACATCAACAGGTAATGGTTGAAAAGAGAGAGAGAGATTATAAAAAAGAAGAAATTGTGAATAGTTTTTTTTCTTTCTTTCTTGTGGTGAGATCTTTACTAAAGAACTAAAAATAGTTAGCAACCTTTCAACGGGGATAACCTTTGCGCCTACCGTTTCCGTTTGCTTTTGTTTTCTTTTCTTTTTTTCTTTCACCGTTTTCCCATAGCTAAAGAAACGTTGACGTTGGCAATATGTACAAAGTGTAACCCAAAAAGATAATTTACTATTAAATAACTAACACCAGAAATATAAAGTTTTATGGAACAATATAATATTGATTAAATGACTTAGAGTATTTTCTAAAAATCACTAATAAATGGATTTTTTTGCTGAAACCAATTGCATCAAGTCTTGTTCTTTTTTTTTTTTTTTTTGTCGACAAGCATCAAGTCTTGTTCGTACTCGTTTTATACCAACTCATTGTCAAGACTCAAGAGCATAAATATTGAATATAAAACAAACTAAAGTGTTGGAATCTAACCTATATCTAACTTTGAAGTCGAGTAATTGCTACTTTTGGTTTCGATTTTCATAATATGTGATTTTCTTGACTTTCATCATATATATTAGGTACACAAACTTGTAATACAAAACTAAACATGTTGAATGAATTGTAATAATTTAGTTATTAGATTACCAAAAATTTGCGTGAGTAGCACCGTGCATGTTGTTGTCACGTTGATTATCATTATAACCGTTACTAATAAATAAATAAATTAAAATGATTAATAGTAACGTAAATAAATCCGAAAGCACGGTACCGATTTATATATATCCACACGTAAACGTAGCAATGTATATCATCAGTGCATAATAAACGAGTAATAAATCTATATATTGGTACATAGTTTAGTATAATGTTGCGGATCATGTTGATATGATCGAGTTTAACAATTTTCTCACTTCTGGTTCATGCGACGGTGCGAGACAACTTCCATATAATGGGTCCATTTACCAATCCACTAGAGAGAGTGGATTACAGAATCCAAGGTTCATCTTGGATGGTAGAAAAAAAACTAAAAATGAATTAACAACAATAAAGACGTCTAAAGGTTAAACCTATTTGACTTCCAACCTTGGTTATAGGCTCATTTTGAAAAAGGTTTAAATCTTTAGGGTTGACAATGGTAACAATCTCTTTTCTCTTTTTTCTTGACGTCTAATACTACAATATGAATAATTTGTTGGAACATTACAGATTCGCAATAGTAATTGAAAGAAACATCTTTCCCTACCGTGGATTGATATATAAATGTGTCGCACTCATCACACCCACGACCTTCATAATCTCCTTTTTATGCTCCTAGACAAAATAGCTTCGACAAATCCCTGCTTTTTGTTTAATACTATAATATTCCCACACAACATTTTTCTCTAATTGTATTAGTTTTAACTTTTAAGTGAATAAAGGAACAAACTTCCATAAAAAGTGGCGTTAGTATCGTCATAAATCCGTATGAACAATAATACATGCACACCTTCACGATACATTAATTGCACCAACTCATAATAATACGTACTACTCCTTCGTTATTTATTGCCTGAATTCAACCCACCTCCCCTATTTTTGGCCATCAGGCAACAACACCTCCCCTATCCTATCTACTCTCTCAAATTAATTTTCACAAGTGAAAAAAGTAGTAAATTCAAAATATTGATAAACTTTTCCTTGCTATAAAGATTTCAAGTTAACTATATTTTAAAATCAAATCAACATTCCTATTTCTTGACAAAGTTTCACGGTTTGATGGATTTAGTCGACTCTGATAACTTACCAATTTGGGAGAAAGAAACTGCACTAGTTTTATAAGAGAAATCACTGATTTAATTTGTCTGTCAATTTAGTTTATTTCTTCAGCTGATCTACGCAATTAGGTTGAACATCCTTATGCAAAAGAAATCCGAAAATGGGTTTGATATTTATTTTCATTCAATAATAATGATAGTTATTAAAAAAAAAAAAACTGAAATATCGGGTTTGTCGGATTGTGAAGATGTCAGTGCTATGATTGAATCATTTAATAAAAGTCTCAAATTTTTCTGCTTTCCAGAGCATTACAGGCTATTTGCATTCAACTTCTGTATTGTAAGTTTTTTTTTTTACTTATTAACTTGGTATTTTCAAAAATCAAAATTAACAAATGTGAAATGAATTAAATTTTGTACAACGATTTCACGCAAAAACTTTTACAAGAATCGTTGTGGACGTCAAATTAATTTATATGTTCATGTCTTTATTTTAGAAGATGCACTTTGAACGTAAAAAAAAAAACCCCATGCATATCCCACATTGACATAAATCGGCCAATAAATATGCAAAATTTACTAGTTTCCGTTTATTTAGGTATATATATATACATATGTGTAAAGGTAATTTTACAAAAACAATCTTTTGAAATAATAGTCTTAAATTTTTGCATGTTTACGCAGGTCACCACAGTATAATGAATGGCTAGTCGTCGTCTTAAATTTATCATTGCTAGCTTTATTATCATGAAAGCTTATAATTTATCTGCGCAAACAACAATTACCAAGCATATTTTTGTGCACATGTATCTAACATCTACCATTTGTTAACTTATTTTTCAAAACATCTAATATCCATTTTGCTCACTTATTTGTGATAGGATGTTAGGTAAGTACTACTACGTTTTAACCCCAAAAAAACAAAAAAGTACTTTGGTAAATGTAGTATAAATAACAAAGAGGTATATACTGAAACATCCAAATCCAAAAACAGTTTTGGTTTGTAATAAATACTTCAAACCTGAAACATCTTAAAGGTTTCAACTCCTTCGATTCAATAAATATTTCGGGTAGAAAGTTTTGCAAAAGTGAGATTTAGTGGATTAAATACTAAAGAAGAGCAATTACAAGGCGTCCGCGCAAATCATAATTATGTTTTGGCGAACTTATAATTTCCTCCTTTTCACCTTTTCTCCTTATGCATGCGTAGACACTCTCATGCATATCATCATCATCATTATCGTCATTTACTAGTATAATTTTTATGTGTATTTCTTCAAATCCGTATACAAACATTTGATTACTATTTTTATATTTATTAAATATTATAATTTAGAAGAAGAAATTATAACTGAATATATACTAGTATTTTAAATACTTCAGTAATTGGTAGTATGTTACTTAAAAAATAGTGTAATATTTGCATCCAAAATGTTTTGATATGGTTAACATGGGTATGCATGGGTTGATCATATATTACAAGAAGGGAACGAATAAGTTTGAGTTTCTTTTATTCCTTTTATATAAATTGGGGAGATCTGTGTAAGAATCCATGATTACAAATCTTTTAGGACAGCATATCACGTGATGCAGAAGGTATTTAATGAATAAGTTGATATGTTCTTTATGCAGTTGTCGAGTATTTATTGACACATAATGTATATATATATATATTTTTTAATTTCATATTCGTATGAAAAAGAAAATACACATTTCTAAAGAAAATAATGACGATTGCAGATTTTTTTTTGAAAAAAAGAACGTAGAGGATAAAGGATGGAAAAGACAGTGTTGGGTTGGGTCGAACGTCAAATGATAAGATGTCACAAAAGATTGGCTTTTTGTTATATGATTTCAAAACATGAATCATGAAGTCCCATGACTATATAATATTCACATCACCAAACTTTTGTGTATCCTATTCGTACATTTACCCTTTTTTATTGCTCTCCTATATCTCTATTATGTTTTCATTTTATAACATCAATAATTCTCATGGTTTAACGACGAGTCATATCTTTATTCTATACTAGGGTAAGATAAATAGTTAACATTGTTTTTCAATCTTTGACCTAACGAATGAACTTAATCTTGAAAAATGATGATCATGAACTCAATTTTCTTATTGCAACTACTAACGAATGAACATAATGTGAATCTTAATGTTAAAAGAAAGAAAAAAAAACCTAAAAGTATTGAATATATATATGACTGTTGCTCAAATGTGTGGGAAAATAACTCAGTCCCAATTGTTTAAAAAATAGATGGGTTTAAAGGCCCAATATTACTAAGGATATTAGACCCCTGAAGGCCCAGTTCTTAGCTGCGAGGCTGAGTAACACGACGTCGTAAAGGGGGGACTCCTTCGTCTTCTAAGTTCTAGGGTTCTACGAGGGTACAGAACTAAACTTAACTGTAGCAAAGAACTATCTACACTTTGTGGTGAAAATGGAGAATCAGGAGCCTGAAATCGAGAAATTGCCTGAAGAAGAGGTTCCTGATCGAGAACCAGACCAGAAGAAGGTCAAGATTTCAACCATCGGCCATGAAACAGGTTCGTCGGTTCCTGCCGCCGGCGGAAGCAACGTCGCTGAGCATAGAAAGCCGAAATATAGGCGGCGGAAAGTTGCAATCGTGTTTGCGTTTTGTGGAGTAGGGTATCAGGGAATGCAGAAGAATCCTGGAGCCAAAACCATTGAAGGCGAGCTCGAAGAGGCTCTGTTCCACGCCGGAGCCGTACCGGAGGCTGACCGAAACAAGCCTCGAAGTTACGAGTGGGCACGATCCGCTCGAACCGATAAGGGCGTGAGTGCGGTGGGACAGGTGGTTTCTGGTCGTTTCTATGTTGATCCGCCTGGATTTGTGGAGCGGCTCAATTCGAATCTACCTGATCAGATTCGTGTGTTTGGGTACAAGCGTGTGGCTCCGTCGTTTAGCTCCAAAAAATTCTGTGATCGGAGGAGGTATGTGTATCTTATCCCGGTTTTTGCTCTGGATCCATGCGTACATAGCGAAGCTGAGATGGTTAGAACGGATTTAGGCTACGAATATGTCAAATGTGTAGAGTGCTCTGAGAATGGTTATAAGATCCCAGTTGGTGTTATGGGGAAAGACACTGATTGTGATGCAAAATCATTGGAGATTCAGTCAGACATTTCGCACAGCAACTGTGATTCATTAGGAATTGATGATGTCAAGTCTGAAGCTTTGAGCTCGAGTGTATCTAATGGAGATGATAACCTAAACTCGGAAGTTCTAGATGGGGCTGATGTAGCTGCTCGTGTTGTGACAGAGGAAACCCCTGATTCAAGCTCTAAATCAGAGGATATGGAAGAATTGAATTTGGATTCTTCGAAAGAATCGGATACTTTGGCTAAGGGAGAGATGAAAAATAAGGAAAGAAGAGACATGACAGAGGGCAATTTCTGTTATGGAGAGAAGGAAAAAGAGAGGTTTAATAGAATACTAAGCTATTATGTTGGTTCACATAACTTCCACAACTTCACCACCAGAACGAAAGCAGCAGACCCAGCTGCGAATCGCTACATTCTCTCTTTCAACGCAAACACAGTGATTAATCTCGATGGAAAAGATTTTGTCAAGTGTGAAGTTGTTGGACAGAGCTTCATGCTTCATCAAATCCGCAAAATGATTGGACTTGCTGTTGCTGTCATGAGGAACTATGCTCCTGAAACACTCATCGAAACTGCTTTCAAGAAGTAAGCTTTTTGTTTCTTACTATTTCCCTGAATGTATAATAGTTTGAGGGGTATTAATTTGTTTTGATATTGGAAATTGGTAACTCTTCACCAGGGATGTGCGAATAAATGTACCAATGGCGCCAGAAGTTGGATTATACCTTGATGAATGCTTCTTCACGTCTTACAACAAAAGGTTTAAAGGCAGTCATGAGGAGGTGTCCATGGAAGAGTACAAGGAAGTAGCTGAAGAATTCAAATGGAAACATGTTTACTCTCATATTGGCTCAGCTGAAGAAAAAGATGGAGCTGTGGCTATTTGGTTGCATTCGCTGAACCATAGAAACTATCCTGATCTACGAAGGAATGAGTTCAAACCGGAGGAAGTCATTGTCTATAAGAAGATTGATGAAGCCTCTGAACAAAAGATCCATGAGGAGAAAATGACAGTGAAAGAGAACACTAATTGCGTTGCAGAGCTATTAGTTGTCGATAAGGTAAATGATGGAGCCTCTGAAGGAGAAATTATGGAAGAGAGGATAACACTAGAAGAGAACACAGCCGGGTGAAGCCGCTGTTGTCTGCGGATCACTGGATTCAGGTGGAAGCATCCACCGCAGGTCCAAACCGGACGAGTGAGCCAGATGAGTGACTTGGCGCGTTATTGAAAAAGAAAGATTTGGACATTGTTTCCATGTATCCTTTGACTAGTATCTATGTTGAAAGTTCAAGTTGTGTTTTACGACATTTAGATCTTATTATGATGTTATGAAGTTACCGAATAAAAGTGGCTATTGCCATTGGGAGTGTTGTCCAATTACTAAAACCGACGTATAACATATACAGTATATATATATATATATATAATAAATTACATAACCAAGAAAAATGGCAATAACTGCCACGTGTAATCATCTCCATCGTGTTTGTTTTCTTTTCTCTATCGTCTGGACCTTTAAAATGTGTATATATGCCTAAATTTAATTAATAAATTATCCTAAATCTTGCTTCTTCTTTTTTTCTTTTGTCGACACCTAAACTTGCTCTTCTTTTATGATGGATGACTTCATTTGTATCTTCAATCTGTTTTTAGTCCAATGGATGGGTTTTTGCGTTACATATATACTTGCACCTTATTTCATGTATTTAGCAATTGCGCTATAAAATCATTTTCATAGTACGTTTTCCTCAATTGAAATACAGTATACTATAGAGATCTTTTACCAAAATAATAATTTTGACGTTCATTTTCTATGATAATATTTTTCTAATTAGACACTAAAGATATATATTGTATATTGCTCCATGCTCATAGTAAACCATTTTTTCTGCGGATGTGACTAATGTCTTTCTAAGAAAAACATTTATATAATTATATGTTTCCACATTTTAATGTTGAAAATAATTAAATAAGGATTGGTTGGATATTAATTAACATGCTAACGTGTCTAATCTTAATCTTAGGGAATATCACCATAAAACCATTCAAATCAAGAATTTCTACAATCTTTCTCCATTCTGAACCTCGATTAAGAAAGGTCTACCTGAACCCAACATCCGTACCTGAAGAGAACTCTTATATTATCAGCCTAAACTTGTTGAATATGAATATGATGGCAGACAAGGGTAATTCTCTCACATCAAAATCTTCTCTGCCAGCAGCATGGAACTTGTAGGAATCCCCAAGGCATGCTGGAAGAATGTTTCCACCAAGTATCTCCTGAAAATATATAAACATCGATTGAAGTCACTGTTTTTATGAATAATATAAACAAATCCAGATGACCTTTAAGAAACTACTACCTCAACAGACGCTTCGCCCATTCTTTCATCATCAATAATCCATCGTGATTGACTAACATTTCTGGAGTACTGCAAGGATAAGATCAAACCATCAATCATAGATCTTCCAATAAGAGGTTATGCTCGGTCATCACGGAATATATTTGTTACCAAACTACATTTTACACACAAATCAAAGTTACAAACACTGCCTCAAAAACATGAAAACAGTGACTTACTTTAAAGTATCTACCACTAAAAAAGATAGGCATCTTGTTGCAATGAACTGAAAAGATGCATGGTTCATACACCTGGTAATATAAGAAAGAAGAAAACATGAGTTTTTGTTAGCCAACTAATGACAACCGGACATAAGAATGTTTTACTCAATATAAATCCATGGGTTAAACATGCAACCTTTTCAAATGAATTCTCTGAAATAGAATTTGATCCATTCTCTGCGTCTGCATATACATATAATACAGTTAATGAATGGCATTTGGAGACTCTGAAGTTTGATCCAGAGGGATCTAATGTACTATCTCCACAAAAACTGTAAGAAATTGATGTACATGGGCACAAGATCCTGAAAGCGTATGTTAAACCATCACAAGGACTCAAGGAGGCATATGCACTTTAAAATAAGTATTACATCTATGCAATACACTGAAGTAGTGGAGATAAAGTGGTCGACCATACCATAGTGATATGAACCTTGTGGGTTTGGACAATATTATCCCAGTTCTCGAAAACTATCTCCATAAAGGCTTTGTAATCAGCCTGCAAGACAGATGTGACTGGGAAAATTGCTCTGTTCAGGGGATGGTCAGATATGCTTCCAAGCTTGTATACACCGTGTATTTTGAAGTAGTCAGTAAGTTTCAAAGGGGTGTCCGCTGGGAGAATGAAGTCTGAATGGTGTGTGTCCCTTCGTCCTCAACCAGCATCATCATGTGGATTTGGATGCGGAAGTTGAGGGAGTTCTGTAATCCTACATTTGATATTCTCAGCCTATACGTATTACCTGTGTGGAAGAAATCAACATCATAACTTCCTCAGCACAAATATGAACTAACGAGCAAAATGAACAAATAAAGGCCAAACCTGATTGAATGTTGAGTATGGCACCACTGCTGCGGCCATTGATGAGAATCCCATCGGGAAGAGGAAGCTTCCCGCCGTTATCGAGCTGTGCTCTCAATGCCTATACAGAGATTTTCAAAAACATCAATCGTAAATCCTAACAAGTAAAACAACATTTGGGTAACAGCAATGTAAACTTGAAGTAAGTTACGATTTTGGAATTTTAAGAGGAGAATAGGTTACCTTGTGGTTGGTAGTGAACCAATCGCCGATGAGAACAGTGTAATCATCGGCGGGAGGAGGGAAGGGGAGGGGGATCAATGGGCGGCTGGAGATACGGATGCCCCCGAATCCGCCGGCGGCTTTGTGAAATCCGAGGGAAGGAAAGTAATAGAAACTTCCGATTTGATCTTTAACCTGAAGGGCGTAGGTGTAGTTCTTCCCCGGCGGGATTGGGCACGTCGTTCCGTACACTCCGTCCTGGTACGACTTCTTTCTATTTTGTATCCCGGCCCTTGTGTCCCAGAAAAAAAAAATCTAATTGAACCCACTTATTTTACATTTTTGTGCAAATTAGAAAATGACACGTAGGCACTTGGCCCCGAGGGAGTGTGATTTGCTAAGCGGGTTTTGCAATTACATGCAATGATTAACCGTCTAATTTTATGATTACTAGTTAATTTAAAATATTGTCTTCTATGTGCATTAAAAGCTTGATCTGTAGTTGTTCAGACTCAGATTTCCTGTGTTGAATCTTACATTTTCACTTTACCAATATTGAATTGTCTCCGTAAAAATTTACTATGTAAATCTTATTTACGTACCTAGATGAAATTGTGATGTGTATATTTCACTCAAATTATGTAGATTTCTATATGCCATGCAATTTCAAATAATAAAAGGTGTACCATGAGATAAGGAAAGGTTCATCCAATTCGATGATCCTCACTCACATAAATCTCAGTTTATCTTTTTTTATATTTTTCCGTTGGATTTATGGAACAACAGCATTGCCCGTGAAACGCAATAATGAAGTCATGTTCAATGAGATGTATTGGGAGAATGTCAAATGGAACTACAACGCCTTCACTTTCAACATCGCTTAGTTACAATGAACGTTGCTCACATCCGAGTACAAATCTAATTTAGATAATAAAATAAGTGATGCTCTCTAATTAGGTTCTAACTTCAAGCGTTTTGCAGAATATATATAATTCTAGAAATGCGAGCTGTTAAAATTAAAATCTAGACCTCAGTGTCATCACTTAAACTCGTAAGTTGGAACAGGAGGTGCATCAAAGCTCTCCAAAATGTGAGTTTTGCTCCCTGAATCATCCTCTGTTTGCTTCTTCTTGAACAAACTCCCAAACCAAGATCCCGAACCTGCCTTAGAACCAGAAGAAGAAGTCGTCTCCGGTACAGACTGACCAAAAACCTGACCCATAGTCACACCATACGGTACAGAAGCTGCAGCACCCTCCATAAACTGCTCGTTCTGCAAAACACTCCCAAATTTGTTGGTCATGATACTAGCTCCTTCTATGAGAGCCAATAACACACCTCCCACTAAAGCCGAACGAGCGGTCGCGGCGAAGCCTTGACGCAACGAGAGGAACCCTCCGGTGGCGGCGCCAGATATGATCGAGTTCCATGGATCCTCCTTCTGTCTTGCGTACACCATGGCGCAATCGAAGGTTGAGAAAAGACCACCCCACACGGCGAAGTTCCCTCCGTATCGCGGCGCATTCATTCGAATAGCTTGAACGCCTCCGGAGAGACGAGCGCCGGCGGGAGAGTTGTACATCCCTTTGATGAGGTAAACCGCTGATGCACCAACAGCACCCATGCCGAACGCACTTCCGGCGTCATCTAGGATCCGATCGGGACATGGTTCTCTCGCACTCTCTGGAGTTCCCATCGGTTTCAATTTTGCTTTACAACTAAATGAATTCTAGGGTTTAAGAAAAGAGAAACCTTGGAGATATGTGAATATATCACTGACCGACCGTGACTCATTATCTTGTTCATCACGTTTTTAACGACGGTCAAAGCCCATTAAGGCCCATTTGTCAATCAATACGCGCACATCATTATTAAAATAAAAATACCACGTCATTTGAGAACCTTATCTTATTTTTCAGACACATAATACGTGGACATTTGCTCTCCACTTTACAATGCCACGTCATGACACAAGTATCTAAACCCAACCAATCACAATGCGTCACTACAGATAACTCGTGTCTGTGGAGCTTGCTTTGAGAGCCATCCATTGTCCTATCTCACTTCTTTCTCTCACCACATAAAACTCATAAACCTCACACTGCTCTCAATCGAACCAAAGAATAGCAAATAGAAAACCTTATCACATCACTCTAAAGAACCATTATCATGGCCTCAGTAACTTCAGCCACCGTCGCAATCCCATCTTTCACCGGCCTTAAAGCCTCAACCATCAAATCCTCCGCCTCCGTCAGAATCAACACCGCTGTTGCTGCGTCACCGAAGCTCACAGTGAAGTCATCTCTAAAGGACTTCGGAGTCGCGGCCGTAGCAGCTGCAGCTTCAATTGCTTTGGCCGGAAACGCCATGGCAATTGAGGTTCTCTTGGGAGGAGGAGATGGGTCATTAGCTTTTGTTCCCAACGACTTCTCTATCGCCAAAGGAGAGAAGATCGTGTTCAAGAACAATGCTGGGTTCCCACACAACGTTGTGTTCGATGAGGACGAGATCCCAAGTGGCGTCGACGCCGCCAAGATCTCGATGGACGAGCAAGCTCTACTTAACGCTGCCGGAGAGACCTTCGAGGTTGCTTTGACCGAGCCTGGGACTTACAGCTTCTACTGTGCGCCGCACCAGGGTGCTGGTATGGTCGGTAAAGTCACTGTGAACTAATATGTGTATGTGAGAAAGTGAGAGAGTCTCGGATTCAAGTAGAGGCTTTTCTTTCCCATTCTTACATTATTACATAATGTGTTTTGTAATTCTAAAGAGTGTTGAATCCAATGGACCTTGGTTGTTGTAATGTGACTGGTTCCATAGTTTGCTTCTTGGTTTATGATAACTATATGTAGTTTATGTCTCGTCCTGAAGCATGAAGGTTCTTAAGAATATGATAAATTACTTAGAAAAGAATAATATTAGAATAGCCGGTTTTTATAGGGTTGTTCTAGTTAGTTTAGTTTTAAGACAAATATCAATTAAAATGACTATAGTGCACAATGTTGGTTACTGCCAATAATGACCTTTAGCACAGTTGTTACCAGCTCCAGACTGGCCAAAGACGAAATTATCAGGACGGAAGATCTGACCATATGGTCCGGATCTGATACTATGGATAGTACCATGCTCAAAGATCCATGAGAACAGAACGAGGAAAGTATCTTTGACTAGAAGCTTCGTTGTAATACACATTTATACGCTCGAGCTGGAGATCTTTAGTGTATCCACAGTAACGTCCGGTGGAACCGGTGCCGTGCTCGTCGTAGATGATTTCCGAGAATTATATTTAATAGTAAATTGTTTGGCAGAGCAGAATGTCATAGTTTTCTTGCCAACATTTTATTGCCGACCATAACTGAATTCTCTTTGAAAAAAACGGACCACAGTCACAATCCAAGATATAAATTTTTCATTAAAAAATATGAATTTTGAGAAAAAAATGGGATCTCTAAGGAAAAAGGGTGACATGATTATAACTTTATAAGTGTTTCATTAGCAATGATATTACATTAGTGCTTTGTGTTTGTTTTCTTGCATCCAACTATATTTAACTGAAATAAATTATTTAAAAGATATAACATTATTGAAGATTCTGCTGTGTAAAAAATATAGTTACAAAAAAAAAAAAAAGTATCTGGGTCTTATATATTTTTTTCCACAATATATAAACCTTTTCTGAATTTATTTAAGTTGTATATTAATGTTTACAAAAAAAAACACACACACATTGGTCACAATCGTGGATTTGGGCCTTTGATCAGCACATTGTAATGAGCTGCAAAGGTCAGTACAGCCCATAGTAAATAATTATTGTTTGGGCTTTTACGGCCTTTTATTTTGAAACGACGTCGTCGTACTTCAAAGCTAGAGAGAACTTGACACGTGAGTTTCGGATGAGAAAAAAGGAAAACTTAAAGCGGGAATATATATAAGGAAAAGATCCAGCTGGGCAAAATATTAGAAGCGACACTAGTTCGTTTTGTGGGGGGATCCCTTAACGCTGCTTCTTCTTCTTCTTCTTCCTTTCGCGAGAAATCCTTCCTCCTTCTACAATCCTCCATGGGTAGGGGTTTCCAAGCTCTATGCGTCTTCTCTCTTTCTAGATTATGCGATTACTGCTCTTATTTGTTCGATCGTATCTTTTCTTCTGTTTTTTGGTTGGAAATGTTTGTGTTCCTTACTGTGTTCACATCGATTGTAGAGTTTATTGATCTGTTGCTCTTGTAGTTGAATCTGTAATCGGATTGTGTGATTTGCAATCGGATTAGGGTTTAGCTGAGCTGGGTGTTTTTTTTTTTCTCTTTGAAATTCGAGTTAATTTAACTTCCAGATGGATTTAGTGGTTTTTTGAAATTTTTGCCAAATTTTGTGTTCGTTTTGGTTGGAGATGATAGTCTTATTTTAGTTGGAGAATTTTCTGGATCTCTATGCTATCGCTGTTAAAATTGTAGTAGGAGCTGTATAGTTTTCCAGCATAACTGCAGGGATGTAGCAGATGGCTTGTGATTCTCAGTAGTAGTAGCTTTCTCTCTTCTTCTATTAGGTGAACTAGCTGTGGTTTTCTTCATTCATTAGTTGTTGAATGTTTTATTCTGACTATAGTTTACTCTGGGATTTAGAGTTACCGTAATCTTCCTTTTCTGTGAAATCTTATGCGTGTGCCATCTTAACTTTTGTTTAATTATTATGATTTTTGTTTCATGGGTGTGAAATATGCACCTCATAGTAACTATTAGTCTGTTTCCAATAAAATCTTTATCATGTGCTTTCGTAACTGTCTTTTTTCTTCTTCTTATATCCTGTTTTCCATACCTTTTCTGACATATGCAGATCTTGAGGCTGAGATCCGCGCATTGCAGCTTGATTCATCAGGTGATAGAGAAAACTAGCTTAATTATTTTATATCTTATTTCGATGGTTCTAAATTTGGGTGTGAATATATGCAGATGAGAACAATGGTGTTGTCACTCCAGAAAATCATAACTCTGTTGGAGTTGAGAAATTGGATAAAGCAGCAGAAGGTTTATTGCAGCATGCCCTTTTTGTTTTGTTTACAGTTCCTTTTTAGTTCTGTTTAAATTTTCCTCTGTGGTTTGCGTGCACATCTACCTACCGTGTTACAGCGGCTATTTACAATAGAAATAGTCATACAAATCGAAAAGATTTGTTTATGTTTTATACTGTGATGAGATTGAAAACTAGATATCTGATGAGTTGTTGACATAGAAAATAACCAGGTATTTGTATCTTGACTTACAGACTTGAAAGATGAGGTGCAAGAATCAGTCCCAGTTCCTGACGAGCAACAAGGTCCTGGATCATCAGTGTCCCTTTATTTTTCTTTGCTCCAAATTAGTTTGCTTTATCTATGCTTTTCCACAAGATTGATTTCTCCTTTTTTTGGACTTTGTTGGTTTCAGCTTCTGAGGATCATGATCAAGTAATGCTTCATACAAAGCATAACCCAGCGAAAGGTTCGTAGATTATCTTCTCATACTGCTCTTGTCTCATCTCTCTGGTACCTCTGCCTGAGCTTTGACCTATCTTCTAATATATTTAATCAATCGTAGCTAAAGAGAAAGCTGCTCAAGAGAAGGCTGCCAAAGAGGAAGCTGAAGAGAAAGCAGAAGCAAATAAAAAACGACACTTGAACGTGGTGTTCATTGGGCATGTCGGTATGTCTTAATTCTTATTCTTTCATGGGCATGTTTTTGTTATATTAGACATTATAGGATAATCGCCTTGATTTCAGAGCTTATGTAACACAACTTTGAAATTCCCATTGGTCTTCAGCTTTCAGTCTGTGTACTTTTAAGTTTATTATGGCTGACTTATCGCTTTAATCTTTATACTATCATTTTCAATCATAGATGCTGGTAAATCGACAATTGGAGGACAGATTCTATTCCTTAGCGGTCAGGTGGATGATCGACAAATCCAAAAGTATGAGAAGGAAGCAAAAGACAAATGTAGAGAGAGCTGGTGAGTGTTCCTGATTGGTTAAAACAGATAAGGACTACCTTGCGTTCTAACTAATTTACGAACTTATTATTGCCGTGTGTGCTAGGTATATGGCATATATAATGGATACAAATGAAGAAGAGAGGGTCAAGGTACTTCATGGGTTTTAGTCAATGTTTATTCTTTAGCTAAATATGTGTGTTTATTGAGTTATCGTGTATATGGAAATCCCATCAAGGTTATTGTTGGCTTTATGTTAGCTATGGCTTATTTACTACATTTACAGGGTATAACAGTTGAAATCGGAAGGGCTCACTTTGAAACTCAGAGCACTAGATTTACCATTTTGGATGCTCCGGTAAGGGATTTAAAATAGTCTTCCATTTATTTTTGTTTTATGTGAGGAATCTGGATTGCAGTATCTATGTTGGATGAATGTTCTGTTCTAATTCTCGTGCTCTTTTTTTTTTTACTTACAGGGACACAAGAGTTACGTACATACTATGATCAGTGGAGCATCTCAAGCGGACATTGGTGTGCTGGTTAGTTGGATAAAATGTTATTTGTATTCTGTTGATTTATCTTCTCCGGTAGGAAGCCTATTAACTTCCATACCCATGTCTCTCTGTTACAGGTGATTTCAGCTCGAAAAGGTGAATTTGAAACGGGATTTGAGAGGGGTGGGCAGACACGTGAACATGTTCTACTGGCCAAAACATTTGGTTTGTCAAAGCTGATTATTGTTGTGAACAAGATGGACGATCCAACTGTGCGATGGTCGAAAGAAAGGTAACTACATTAACCTTTTGAATCCTTGTCACTGATGATTTCGTATTCTGTAAATCCTTGTATTTATTTAAATCCTACGCAGGTATGATGAAATAGAACAAAAAATTGTTCCATTTCTGAAAGCCTCTGGTTACAACACTAAGAAAGGTATGACATGAACTGTAAACCTTAAAAATTAACTATTGTCTAAGGGCATGTTCAATTTGTTCTCTTACTCTTTTGGTGTTAAGATGTTGTCTTCTTGCCTATATCTGGTCTAATGGGAATAAATATGGACACGAGAATGGGTCAAGACGTCTGTCCTTGGTGGAGTGGCCCTAGCTTTTTTGAAGTCCTTGATTCTATTGAAATTCCGCCACGGGATCCTAATGGTCCATTTAGGTGAACCGCCACTGCCCTTTTTCTTTTCTCTCTTTTCATTTTTTTTGTTGTTTGTTATTGACTATTGGTGGATGCATTTAGGAAATCCATGGATTTTGTTTATTCATGTTTTAGATGGAAAATATCATCTCTAGCATTGTTATCTGTAACACATTCAACTTCTCTAACTTTGGCAATGCCTTTCGTCCCACTTAGGAAGACATGTCTTCTGTAGTCTTATAGAAGATAATTTATAGTCTGTAAACATATCTTTGTATGTTGTAGACTGTTAATCTTAATTGATTTTATGAATTGTAGGATGCCTATTATTGATAAATTTAGGGATATGGGAACTGTTGTTATGGGAAAAGTTGAATCTGGCAGCATTCGGGAGGGTGATTCCTTGGTTGTTATGCCAAACAAGGTACTTTTTGCTGTCCCTTTTCTCATTTCACACTTGTTTGCGAGCTTAATGTATTCCTTATCAATTTCATGAATCCATGCAGGAACATGTGAAAGTTGTTGGTATATATTGCGATGAAGACAAAGTTAAACGTGCAGGACCTGGTGAGAATTTGAGAGTTCGTATTACTGGCATTGAAGATGATGAAGACAAAGTTAAACGTGCAGGACATGCTGCAATATATTTTTCTTCATAGAATTTTGGTTATATCTGAAATCCTAGTCTTCTCGTAGCTGTACGCCTGTATCAATCTGGAGTTTTTCTTTGTTTTCTGTCTCAGTAAAACCT